AGTCAAATAAATTCAGAAGAAAGAGGAAATTCCCTATCATGTCTCTCCTATATTCTATTTTCCCTTATAGGTAACTCATTGCTCACAGTTCACAGTATTATTCTTCCAGATTAAAAAAAATGCATTAATATACTCATACATTTTTAAAGGTGTATTATACCATGTATAGTCGTCTGTAATGTGTTTTCTTTATTAACAGTACAACTTAGATCTTCCTGTGCCAACACATTTATTTTAATAACAATACAGAATTTCATAATAGACATAAGAACTCATTTAGCAATTCTGCTATTTGATAGATATCTACTTTTTATTTTCTTTACTATTAAAAATAATGCTGTAATGAGCATCCTCATACAAATACATATTTGGTTTTCTATTAGAGTCTCAGAAGTTAGGTCAGATAGTGCAGATATTTAAAATTTGTTTGATACTGTTAAATCATCCTTCCAATGCTATACCAATTTGAACTCTTTTTACCTGTCAATGACAGTATATGTTATCAGTCTTTTAAATTTTTCATATCTGACAGGCTCAAAATAATGGTTAGTTTTAATCTTGCCTTCCCTGATGACTAGATATAGTTCAGCTTTTTTTCATGTTTATAAACTTTTTATTTTTCTGTGAATTGCCAATTTTACAATAGCAATGTTTACTGTTACCTCACAAGTTTGTAGAAGCTCTTTATTATGGAATATTCTGTCTACCTGTGGCATATAGCTTCTCCCAGTTGGCCACTTTTTATGGAGACATTTTTCATAGAGACATTTAACACTTAAATATATTTCAATCTATTCCATTTGGGGCTGAATCCTATGTTTTGCTTAGAAAGGTCCTCCTTACTCCATAATCATAAAAATACTATTCTATGATAGTAGACACAAATTGGTGTGTTTGTGCTAAGTGTTATCGTCAGCCTCTTTCCTGATAGGGCTGACTGATGCAAGCACAGTCACACTTGCCCCACCCTGTGCCAACCAGATTCTCTTTGCCAGGACTTTGAAAGCAGCAGAGGCTTCTTGAAAGGACCCTAGAGCCGGCAGAACAAGGCCTGTTCTGCTCAAGGGCTGGTAGTCTACCTCACCTTCTGGTTCTGTCAACTTCTCCAATGTTTCCCCAACTGACAGTTTTCTTGTTTTGCTTCATTTAGTTGTATTGACTTCTCTGGTTTTTAAATAAAGGACCTTAACTGACTTAGCAGTTAATGTCAGTGAGTGGGTTGTAGTTGAGAAACCGATGGGGGAAATGTGGGTGATGTAAATCTGATTCTCGTGTTCAGATAAAGAGAAAGGAACTTCAGTTATTGCTTGAATCACCTGGAATGTGTTTCAGTTGGTGGTAAAGGGGTGGGAGAATTCCAATTAAAAGTAGATAAGAAATGTTGACACTGACGAGTAGAATTACTTCTGACAATACTGGGTAACAAAATAAGAAAAAGCTCAGCTCCAATATTAAATGCTCACCTCCACAAACAGTGTAAGCAAGGCTCAGGGCCTTTCTATGACCGTGCTATGTTTTTTGCTGAACCAAATGATAACATTTCAGAATTTTGATGGTTGCTAAATATTAATGACAATGGAATTTACATCTTTTCTAGGTTGCTTGTGTGTAAGACAGGGCCTTGGTGAGACAACTGAAATAATGCTGAAAGGCAACAGAGGAGTTGGCGAAGACAAACTTCTAAAAATCTCTCTATTGTAGCTTGTTTTCATGATGAAAAGTTCTCCGTAACCTACCTCTCACTGCTCAAGGATATAACACAACCTAGAGGATAAAATACATAAACAAGATAGAAAAGCAAGGAGCTAACAGAAGAAACTGAAGTAATTAATTGAGTTAGATCATCAAATACCTCCAAAAAAGGAAAGGAGAGCTTAATTTTTGTACTGTGTAAGGTCAATTTGTAATTATGGTATGGTTAACTAAACTTCTGAGTTAGTATAACAGCTCAGGAAACTGGCCAGGATTCTAAAGGTGGGCTAGGTTGGCCAGTGGAAATTTGGGCTTAATTGGATTCAGTTAGGTAACAATGAAAAGTCAGGAAATCCTTGGCATAAAGTAGAGGTCAGTGTTACATGGGATCCAACAGGCTCAATCTTTTTACTGATACTTTCACCATGTCCTTTATGAGATCCACAAGTGCCTTGCTAGAGAGTGTACACTTCTCTCAGAAGTGCTTTCCTGGCTGTCTTTACCACAGTGAGATGCTGGTAGAAGGGACTGGCTTCAAGATGGGATTTTTTTTTTTTTTTTTTTTTTTTTTTAAATCTTAGTGGGATGAAGGAGCCACAGAGGCCATAGTCACCAAGGCTCAAACATTTCTGGTTTTGGATAATCATTGTGAAGCTCCCAATAAAGGAAATGAGAGGCAGCCAGCCCAGGTCAGTTGAAGAGGCCTGACTAGACTGCTATGCTAGAGAAAGGACCCCTTCTCTACTCAACTCCCAGGCCTGGGTAGGTTTAGAGACTCAGAGTCCTTCAATGATGATCTTTCCACAGCACATCAACATGCATACACCATGAACCGTCATCTTCATTTCCCCCTAAGATTCTGCAGCCTTTTGCCATGGTAACTTCACTAAGGAAGGGGGAATCAACATTTGGGGTCTGGCCTTAAGCTAATTAATTCCTGAGAACCCAGAATGTCATTATTTTATGCCAGCTAGAATGGAGCTTTTGCAGGCCAGCTGATGGAAGGAGTTTTGACCTGAACTGGCCTCACATTAGGAACAAAGTATTTTTTCCAAAGTATGATTAGAATAGATAGATATCTATAGCAAGCAGCAAAATACCCCCACTAGATTGGATATTTGGAATAAGGACTACTACAGTAGCAAGAGCAAACGCAAATTGCTGGAGTAGCAATCTCTAGCAAATGTTAAGTCCCTAGGTGAGTCACAGAAATCCTAAGTGCTATAGAAGACTTAAAAGTTGCAGGATAATGATGAGATAATCCATTTATATGTCTAAGTTTAGTGATGGCATAAAGTGAATGCTCAATAACTACTAGCATTAGCTATTCTGATGCTTCCTATTACCCTCCATGCAAGCTAACAACTACACTAACACAAAAGATGTCAGTAGATTATAACAATGAAACATGTGGAGCCATAGATTTGCAATTGCTTTTCCAGATGTACTTTCCTTCTTATAGATTAACTTAACCCCTGGTACCTGGAATATCACTATCAATGAGGCAAGTGCACGTTTTTACCCCTTTATGGTACACAATGACTACATGAAACAACTTCCCTTTCTCAAAACAGAAGTAGCCCCAGTAATAAGTCATTTTAACCTTTGCAATAATCTGGTTTATTAGGATTTTGTCTTACTGTTTCACAGGACATAACCTTGACAAAGCTGGGAGGCCTTGAAGAACAGATACTGTGTATCTTAGATGTACATGCTAGACATAAAATACAGTGGTCTGCTACCTTAGTCAAGTTTCTGAAAGTCAAAGGCTTTCGCATGTGAGGATATCCATTAAAGGACAAGTTGCTGCTTCTTCCCACCCCCATCCCAAAGGAGGAGTCATGCTTGCTGGGCTATTTTGGATTTTGGAGACAGCATATAACACATGTTGATGCCCTGCTTTGACTCATTTATCAAGAGATCTGAAAACAGAAGACTCTCCAGCTGATCATAGCCATGGAGAAACTGGCATATGGGCCCATGTGTCTAGGTAAGGTTGAGCAGGAGAATCACATTAGAAAACCTTAAGATTTGGTAACAAGACCATGATCTTGTCAGCATACTCTGGTAGAGAATGTAAGTCTAACCATGGGACAATAGATAATGACTTCAACTAAGTATTAACAAGCCATAAATTTGGACATATCTTGCAAAATTCCACCACCAGCTGGAAGTGATGTGTACAGAACATTTGCCACACACCCACTCCCTTTAATAGGCACCTCTGACTTCCCGATGATTTCAACAGTTGACTGACAAGGCAAAATATCCAGCCTAGTATACAAATGGCTCTGAGAAATGCTAGCCCATTCTGGAGGTAGATTGCTGTGGGATAATTGACTTAAGGAATGGTCCTGAATGAGAAATCCTTCTAATTTGAACTGGGGTCAGCCAGTTGCAGTAAGCCTATTTCTCCCTTGCTTATGGATGGTTTAAAAAGAAGCATGTGACAAGGGAAGTCTCCAGAAGCTTTTGGGAAAGTTTTCCTCATTGATAAAAGGAGACACACAGAAAGAAACAGTCATCCTTTGTTCACTTGCCCTGGTGAAATCTCCATGTGGTGCCCTGAAGTGGGGTAGCCATTTTGGTGTTACAAGGGGAGCCAGCCTAAGAGACAAAGCTCACACACACGCTTCAGTTGAAAGGTGTAAGGAGACTGAGAGTTTACCAATGCCCAAGTTGGTCCAAGGAAGTTCTGACCTGGGATCAGAACTGATGGGCTAGAATCACCGACTGGTAGAGTCATAAATATGTTCTGCTTTCTTGAGAGAGTTATAAAAAAAATATGAATCTAAATTCCCAAGATGAGGCCTTACTCTGCAGTCTGCCATGGTTCTCATTTTCCACACTGAGCTACTCCGTGACTACTTAAGACACTCTGCGATCCCTAATCCAAACTCTAAAAGGCCACCGTTAATATGGGCTCCTACTATGCGCAAGTCCTTCATGTCCTATATTGCTATTTGAACTTATTTTTTTTTGTTCTTATTTATAGACAGTGAATTTCTTGAGTGTAGAAACTAAATCTGTTTTTGCTCCCCAGCAAATCCCTGGCACCTAACACATATTAAATGCTTAATAAGTATTTATTTAAAAAAGTAACAGATGTGATGATGAATGAATAGATGGATAGATAAGGGAGGTAAGACAAATTATTCATTTCCTGTCCATAATTACTTAGGAAAGGAGTCAGAAGAACTTGTTAAACATTTTCTCATCCCTTAACCCATTAAAAACCTGTTTTCTCCCCCAAGACCTGAGGTCTGCCTTCCTCCCTGCTGACACACTAGTCTCAGCAAAGAACTCACGTTGAATTCTTCTCTGAAGAGTTTGTTGTCATCAGCCATTCTCCGGTTAATCTCCTCTTCCAGCTTATCTACGGGCAGAGGTGGATACTTCCTATTGGTGCTTGGGGACCTGGCCAGAAGTGGCACGCTCTGGGGTTCTGCAATGCACAAGGGGGAAGGTTAGTCATATGTCCTGGGGACTAGCCCTTCTCTGGAAACTAAATTGGGGATTCTATCTCATGGGCCGAGCTTCCAAGAACTAGAGCTGCTCTCTTCAAGTCGTCTTCTTTTTTAGGATATGGAAATCACTAATTTCTCATTTTTCTTCTCCATGAAGATTTCCCATGCCATTAAAGAGTTCCTTACCCACGTCCTCAGTGCGGCCATTGGATAAGCGGAAGGAATTGGAATGACTTCCAGCTTGCTTGTATTTCTTAAACCTAATGAGAAAAATGTGAAAAACTAAGCACAGAGGCAGAAGAGACCGATCATTGGCTTTGTATTTCTAATTACCAATTTAGCCTTTCTAAATCTTCTTTACCAAATAAGTGGGATCTTTTAAAAAATGTTTTTAACTTACCTCAGAGAGGAAGGGGGAGAGAAAGAGAAAGAGAGGGAGGGAGGGAGGGAGGGAGGGAGGGAGGGAGGGAGGGAGGGAGGGAGGGAGGGAGGGAAGGAGGGAGGGAGGGAGGGAAGGAGAGAGAGAGAGAGAGAGAAAACATGTAATGAGAAAGAATCATTGATTGGCTGCCTGCTGCACACCCCTGATTGATGACTGAGCCTGCAACCCGGGCATGTGCCCTGACCAGGAATCGAACCTGGGACTCTTCAGTCTGAAGGCTGGAGCTCTATCTACTGAGCCAAACCAGCTAGGGTTAAACAGGCTCTTTTAAGAGATAGGTCCTGCACATGCTAAGGCAACTCCATTCCATGGTACTCCTGCTCATCCTTAGCACACTAGAAAAGCAGTTGCCAACCTTTCAGACCTTGAGGACCACCAGTGATCACGGACCACTGGTTGGCGACCACTGCGCTAGAATCCAACCCAGGTATCCCAAGAATATATTCTAGCTTGTGTGACTCTGTGCAGCTCCAGTTCCAGAACTCCCTAGAGATCATGCCAGGTGAAAAAAGGATGAGTGGGTAGAATATAATAGGGGGAAGGGAGTAGGTAAGAATATCCATATCAGCCCTAACTGGTTTGACTCAGTGCATAGAGCATCAGCCTGCGGACTGAAGGATCCCGGGTTCAATTCCGGTCAAGGGCATGTACCTTGGTTTCAGGCACATCCCCAGTGTGTGTGTGTGTGTGTGTGTGTGTGTGTGCGCGCGCGTGCAGGGGGCAGCTGATCAATGTTTCTAACTCTCTGTCCCTCTCCTTTCCTCTCTGTACAAAATCAATAAAATATATATATATATATATATATATATATATATATATATATATATATATATATATAAAGAATATCCATATCAAACAAAAATCCTGTTATTTTCCCAGTGCAACCAGGGAAAAGACCAGAGTTTCAGATGGGGTGAGCACAGGTCTGGTCTCAAATCTCCTGCAGGATAGTGAATACACATGACAAATTATAGGGGTGTCCAACGTTCCCCTCTCTTTATATCTGCAGAACAGAAGGAGCACACAGAGCAGCCCAAGCCAAAGATAAGGGCAACGTTAAGCCTAATTAGGGCAGTAGGAAGATAACAAACGCACTTCCTTCTTCTCTCCCTTGGGTTACCCTTTCTTGCTTTTGTTCCCTCTTTGAGTAGTATTATCTGGAAGACCTTGAAAGAAAGTCAGAAACAGGAACCCTATAACTCACACGGTTTAGTTCAGTATGCCACGGAAGGAGTCCTAGAGGAATTTGGGGACAAAGCCCCAGGTATAAATATTTTATATGCTTTATTATATTGAGACCAGGGGATTTTTAGGGGTTGCTTCAACAGAGCTAGATATGAAGATCTTAAACACCTATCAGTAATAATACAGACTGTGGCTTCCTCCCTCAACCTCCAAACCACCATCCTGGACTTCAGATTGCAGTAGAGTTGGGGGCTGGACTTGGATAGGTGGAAGCCAAGAAAAGGGGCTGCATCTTGAGGAACACTATGTAGCGCTTTTAAATAATTTCTAAGTAGAATTTTAATCTTAGGAGCACTATCCTGAGTCATTTCCCTCTATCCTCTTAATTATCCTTACCCTCCTGTCTTCTGAGCTGTGTAGGCTTGAGCCCTGGGGTTACTGAAATAGAGTCCATGAGAACGGAGAAGGATTAGCTCACATGCTCACCTTAACATGTACAGAACTATGATAATAAAGACGATCACTAGCAGAGAGGACAGGGCCACCATCACTGCAATAATTGGCGTTTCATCTGAAATTGAAAAAGAAAACATGTCATTACCATTGTATGCAATGGAGGGCTCAGGTTGATTGCTCAGGGAAATACCCAGGAAGAAGGGCTCATTCAATGCTTCTGTAGAGACAGGGCATGGACAGAGTGAGAGAGACAGACAACACTTCCTACTGTTACCCTTCTCTGCTTATCATACCTTTGTTTTCTGTCTCCCTGCATTTAAAAAATATTTTTATTGATTACAGAGGGGAAGAGAGAGGAAGAGAGAGATAGAAATATCAATGATGAGAGAGAACCACTGACTGGTTGTTTCCTACTGGGGACCAAGTCCACAATCCGGACATGTGCCCTTGACCAAAATCAAACCTAGACCCTTCAGTTTGCAGGCTGATGCTCTGTCCACTGAACAAAACCGGCTAGAGCTGTCTCCCTGCATTTGAATAAAAGTTCTTTGAAGGCATAGACTGTTTTGTTTATTGCTATAGAGCCTAAAACAGAGCTTAGTACATAAATAAATATTTGAAAGCATGAACACATCCAATCCTGATGGCAATCTAGGTATGAGAGTCAACAACATACTCTCTCCCAGCCTTAATAGGCTTCACCTAGAGGAAGACAGGAGATAAAAGAATTTTCCTATCATAAACTCAGATTGTTTCTTGGCATAGAGAATACTGTTCCTTAATTGAGCACTATATATCCAAAATGTTGGTACTCTTTTCTACTTCTTTCCACAGCCAGAATCCCAACTACAGCAAGATATGGCTTAGAGATATATTGGAAGGCAGGTTCTTGGATTTCCATTTCATAGGGCCTGGCTTCCCTGCCCTCCAACACTTAAGCCTTCTTTCTTATGGCAGCTAACCAGGTGCTGGCTCATCTTCCTCTACTCTCAAGCCCCTACCACCAACTACACAAAGTCTTGAGTTTGTAACTATCTTAATCATTTTCAATCCTACTAAAAGGGAGGACAAGTCCCTCCCATGTGAAAGTCAATCCTGTCACACATCTATTACTGTTACCTCAAAAACTTGTCTTCTTGACCTCATTTATTCTCCTCTAGACACCAACAACCCCATGCTTCACAGTTAACTTCTCACAATAGTTGTCTTATAAAACAGTCATTTTCTCTAATTCTTTACCTCTGGATAACACCTTAGCTTATTTTGTTCTTGACTCCTACCTCATTGCTCCATTTATACTGTTCATCAAGCCTAGCTGGTGTGGCTCAGTGGTTGAGCATACACTGATGATGAAGCAGGAAATCAACTGTTCAATTCCCAATCAGGGCACCTGCCTGGGTTGGGGGCTTGATCCCCTGTGGGGCCGTGCAGGAGGCAGCCAAGCAATGATTCTCTCTCATCACTGATGTTTCTATCTCTCTCTTCCTCTCTGAAACCAATAAAAATGTATTTTAAAAATAAATAAATAACTGCTCATCAAGAACACACAAATGGCATATTCCCCAATCCAATGGAAACATTCTCATTCACACCTGATTCAACCTCTTAGCAGCATTCATTAAAAAAAAATTTATAGACCAACAATTGTATGCCAACACTGTTCTAAACCATGGGGAAAGAAAAGTGAGGGGATACTGTTCATTAACAAGTAAACATAATTTCAGAAAGGGACAAGTGCTATGAAGAAAACAGTATGATTAATTCAAATGGCGGCAGAGTAAGTGGAAAGCACACTCACTTCCTCTCAGGATCAAATTGAAATTACAATTAAATTATAAAACAATAAACCCGATAACGAACTGAACTAGCTAAACAAAAGTCTTATAACCAAGGATTTACTGAAGCAGCCTGGCAGGAAGGGTGGAGATGGGAAAAGGGATGGCCACACACCCATGTGCGGGGGCTGAGAATCTTGAGGGGTATCTCAGGTGCAAAGGTTCCCTCTAAGGAGGGAGGAGTCGCAACCCCATGCAGGGCTCCCCAGCCTGGAGCACCGGAGCAGGGAAGAGATGCCCATATAATATCTAGCTGAGAAAGTCAGTGGAGATTCTGTCCACCAAGGAGAGATAGGAGTGTGCCAGAAACCCAGGCGCCTTCTTAAAGGGCCAAAGCACAAACTCTCATTTGTGGGCACTCACCCTGGGCTCCAGTGGAAGAAAGGCAGCTCAGAGGGTTGTGTGGCTTTGGGGAAAAGGCTAAAGGATCAGCTGCCAAGGTTCCTGTGCTGATTCCTTCACTGCATTGCCAACAGAAACCATCTTTCCTAGGTCAAGCACTCCCCTCCATATAGCATCAGATTAAAAAAATGCACTAGCCCCACTCTCCCAACTCCCTGTGGGCTGCCATGCCAAGCTCCTCTTCCTCCACATAGCCAAAACTTGGTCTGTTTTAGCCTGATGAATTCTGCTGGCCTCACTGTGACAACTCCCTGAGACCCCCACCCACCACAAAGATCCTCAGGCCCCTAGTAGGTGGCAACTGGCCTTATTGTATCCTGAGATTTCTGCTGAGTAGTCAGATCCAGTTCTGGTGCCAGATCTTAATTTGTATCAACCTGGAGAACACCAATAGCCCCTACATTGTGATTCACTGAGAAGCTATCACACAACTTGCCTACCACCAGAGACTCGGTAATTTAGCCTAACAGTTAGCTGGTGGCAGATCTCAGGGTATCTTGGGCCTTTTGCTGACTTGTCCCTGAACTTGGTGCCCATAGAAGCCAGCCTTAGTATGCAATTTGCCCTCTCTCATGCACACCCATGCCCAGCAGAGGCAACCACAAACCCAAACCATGGATTGCTTTGTACTCCAAACATGTAGCCGAGGGCCAGGCACGGGCAGCCCCTGATACTCATCTGCACCGGAATCCTTCTCAAAGAGGCCCCAGAACCAACACACCTGGTGACAGGCGCTTCTGACCACAAGTGGCATACCCAAAAGGAGCTCTTGGTAGGCACCAGACCCTGCAGGCGTGAATTCCGTATTGTGGGGTCAGGCCTCATATAGACAATAGAACATTGTGGTTGGTGTTGATTCTCATAGTCAGCCAACCTGAGATTCAATCCCACTCATGGACAGGCCAACTGCAAGACTCAACTACAAAAGGAGGGCTCACATGATCCACACAAGAAACATTCCCTGAGCACTTAGCACAGGCGATCAGGGAGACTGTGCCACTGAGCTCCACAAGGCACCAACTACATAAGGCGACAATACCAAGAATGGAAAACACAGCAGATATACCTAATACACAGAAACAAGTACAGAGAGGCAGCCAAAATGGAGAGAGAAAAAAAAAAAAAAAAAAAGCCTAAAAAAAGCCTTATTAAAAAAAAAAAGGTGTAATGCCCAGTAAAAACTAAATGAAATGGAGGCAAGCAATCTACACGATACAGAATTCAAAACAATGGTTATAAAAATGATCAAAACACTTAGGGAAAGAATGAATGAATTTAGGAAAAACTTAAGCAAATATATATAGTAAACATAAGAAATGACACAGAAACCATAATAAAGAACCAGCCATGAATGAAAAATGCAATATCTGAAGTGAAGAATATATTAAATGCAATCAATAACTTTAGGTAAAGCAGACAACTGAATCAGCAATTTGGAAGACAAGGTAGCAGAAAACATACAATCAGAGCAGCAAAAAGAATTTTTTTTTTTAAATGAGGCTAGTTTGAGGAACTTCTGGAACAACAACAAATAATATCTATTTAAAGAAATAATGACTGAAAACTTCCCAAAACTGGTAAAGGAAAAAGACTCAAAAGTCCAGGAAGCTGAGAGAGTCCCAAACAAAATGAATCCAAAAAGGCCCACACCAGGACACATCATAATTAAAATGGCAAAGGTTAAAGACAAAGAGAGAATCTTAAAAGCATCAAGAGAAAGATAGTTACCTACAAGAGATCTCCATAAGACCGCCAACAGAAACAGATTTCTCAGCAGAAATATTTAAGGCCAGAAGAGACTGGGATGAAATATTCAAACTGATAAAAAGCAAGGACCTATAACAAAGACTACTCTACCCAGCAAGGCTATCATTTAAAATTAAAGAAGAAATAAAGAGATTCACAGACAAGGAAAAACTAAAGGAGTTTTCATTACCACCAAAACAATATTACACAAAAATGTTAAAGGGACTTCTTTAAGAAAAGAAGAAAAAAAGAGATTGAACTAAATGCTCCAATTAGACATAGTATAGCTGAATGCATAAGAAAATAACAGCCATATAAAGGATGGGGCAAAAGTTTATAGTTATTTATATGGAAAATAATACAATAATAAATAATATTCTAAGAGTAAACTCTATGTTTCACGTATTCACAATTATAAACCTACTTTTGCCCTACCCTGTATATGCTATTTACAACAGACCCACCTCAGAATGAAAGATATACACAGACTGAAAGTAAAAGGCTAGAAAAGGGTATTTCATGCAAATCAAAACAAAAGAAAAGGTTGGTTTGCAATACTTACATCAGACAAAAGAGGAATTGGAGAATATCATGCTGAGTGAAATAAGCCAATCAATGAAAGAGAAACACCACATGACCTCACTCATTTATGGATAATAAAGAACATTATAAACTGATGAACCAAAAGATAGATATAGAGACAGTAAAGCAACAAGCAGACTGTCAAATTACAGTGGGGAGGGGAGGGAGATCTGGGGGAGATAATAGATCAACCGAAGGACTTGTATACATGCATATAAGTACAACCAATGGACATAAAACTCTAGGGAGGGAGGGTATGTATCGGAGGGAGGGAGGGGGGAAAAATCAATAAAATATATTTTAAAAATAATAAAATTAAATTAAAAAAACAGACTTTAAAATAAAGGCTGTAATAAGAGACAAAGAAAGACATTACCTAATGATAAAGGGATCAATTCAACAAGAACATAAAACCCTTGTAAACATTTATGTACCCAACAACATAGGACCACATAAATATATAAAGCAAATACTGGCCCTGGCCAGGTAGCTTGGTCAGTTGGAACATCATCCTATACACCAAAAATTTGCAGGTTCGATTCCCTGTCAG